TGCCTGAATCTTCGTGCCCATGCCCATGCCTGTGCCTTTTGTTGGGCACAGGCATGAGCCCAGTTTGCAGACCCCTAATTTAAGAGGTGTAGTAATTTTAATGAATTACATATCTTATGTATAAAACAAATAAAATCCCCAATTTCTCTTTAAGTACCTTTATAATTTTTTTTATTTAATAATAATGACAAATAAATCGTTACTTTTGGCTCGTGAATCCCTTGAATGAATATTAGAAATATATGTTAATCGAAAAAATTCGAAAAGCAGCTTTCTAAAAGTCAAAAATCAAAGAATTTATCCAAAGAATTATAAAAATAAAGAAATAAAAATCGTGTATATTCGAACTTTATAATTTTGTAAAATTATTCACTTTAATTAAGATAGACGAATATTAAAAAAGACAAACTCGATAAAAGTCAAACTCGATATTTGAACAAAATTTCGAGTAAAACAGCAATTGTCTTTCGGAGTAAGCTTTCATTTTTTTATTTGTTTACTAAAGAAGTTTATATAATACCGCATTGATGATAATCTACTGTAATAAAATAGTTTATCAATACTTAAGACTTGAATTTATTTCTTTGAGTTAAAATATTTATTATATAAAATTAAATATGAATCTTACAACCAAGATTTGAACTTAACAGTGATATTGTATAATGATATTTTTATACATTGTTTACAGGATTCCTCCTTCTTGATCTTCTAGGTGCTAGCTGTGATTTTAATGTTTTTGGCAATTCAAGAACAAAATAAGCCAAGCTACCAAAAAATCTAAATACAGCTAATCCGGCAACAGACCAAAGAATAATTGTTACATAAACATTAATCCTTGCACTTTGAGGTGAATATTGTATTAAAAGTTTGTTATCACTAATGACAATAATTACTAATATAGTGTTTGTTAAAGCCCATAAAAGTACAAGATAAATTCGAAATCTTTTCCTATATTCATCTTCAGATATTATACCCATATTTTTAGGTTTATTTTCTTTAGGACGTTTTAAAGTATTCCAGGCTCGATCATATCCATCAGCAACATCTATTGAAGTGACTTGTACTTCATTCTCACGAGAAGTTACTTTATTCAATTCACTATCATCTTCTTCTCTAGTTCCCCAACTGTAAATTTTATTAAAAAAATTTTAATTAACATACATGTATATATATTGAATGCAATAATAATTTAAACAGATAAAGTAACAATTATTTACATTACCTTACATCATGAACATTACAGAAAGAGTAAATATTTAAAATAATTACATAAAATGGTACCAATAGAACATACTGGATTATACAAGTTAACATATGCCATGGATCAAGCATTAGTAAACTTGCGAAAAAGTACAATCCGTATGTAGAAATTAAAGCGAGAATAGTGCTCCTGAAAATATTATTTTCAAGAAGACTTATCATGTCAATGAAATTTCCTATACTATATATAATACCGTAAACAGTAATCCAAAACCCAGCGAATAATGTATAAATCATAATCAAACAAAATAATATCAATGAAATTATGTAGGCATATTTAGAACTATTTACAGTATTTAAAAGAAAATGTTAAATTAGA